TGCCTGCCTGCCCGGGGGGTGCCACGGGTTTGGGTGGGAGCTGTGCAAAGCTGGTCGCCCACCAAGCCCGGGATGCGAGGTAGCGGAGGGGTGATCTGCCCGGCAAGGAGCGTTTCCAGATTATTTGGTGTTGGAAAGGCTGGTGGGGGAGGAGGAGCCTTCCTTGGCTGAACTGGGACAGAAAGAGACTGGGAGCCCTGGGGAAGCAGCACCCAGCACCTCAGGGGATGTAAAGGGTCAGGATGGGGGCTTTATTAATTTTTTTAAATTTTTTTTTTTCCCTTTCTGGCTTTCATCCAGAAAAATCCGCCTGGAAATCCAACTCAATCAAGCCAAAAGAGAGACTGTGTAACCTGGCCTCTTGCCGGAGGTGTCTCTGCCTCCGAGGGGAGAAACCCCAGCTCCACAGGGAGGAAAATGGGGGTCCTGGCTCTGCTGTGCCCCGGGGATGGAGCCACCCCCTGCAGATCGGGACACAGGCGCTGGGCAATTCTCTTCCAGGGGACAGGTGACAGCAGGCAGCAGCAAGCGTTGTCCCTGTGATGCCAGAGCGGGAGCCAGCAAGGACAGACCCCACAGCCAACCTCTGGCCACCATCTGAGGCATCTTCTGCACCCCAGTGCCACGCAGCAGCAGAGACACAAACCCCCTGGGACAGCTTTGACCCCGAGTGCTGGAGGCTTGGGGAGGGCTCAGAGGTTTAGTCAAAGTCCTTCCTCACCCATTGCTACCGCTCCGACCTGCCGGTGGCCACCACATCACCCTGCCCAGCATCGCCCAAGGTGCACCGTCCCCACATGTCACCACAGGATGCCAGCGCTGGTGGGGGAGCAAACCCCGAGGTGCCTCCAGCACAGTTCCCACCACGGCATCACCCCCGCAGAGAGTGGTGACACCAGCCCTCGCCGGGCAGCCCCGGTCCCCAGGGATGAGCGGCTGCGGGGGCACAGCCAGGGGGGTCCGTTGGGACAAGGGGGAGCTCACATGATGGTGCATCGGTTCCTG